ACATCAGAATGGGGCAAGTCATGTAAGAAGAAAGAAAACAGAAAAAGAGAAAGAACAGCACCTTGAGGAACACCAGCTAAAATAAGTGAGGTAGTGGAGGACTTTCCATTGTAGACAGTGTACTGCTTCCTATCAGAAAAATAGGAATGCAACCACTTATTTGTCCAGCTCTCACTCTGTGTTGCAGCAAGCTTACTTAGCAAGAGAGACCTAGGTACAGAGTCAAATGCAGATGTGTAATCAAGGAAGGCACACCGAACATATTTGGCTGCTCTCTCTAAACTAGAGACTATATTATGATATAGAACAATAGCGGCATCTATATTTGTGGCTCCACACAGCAATTCACTCTAATGAGTTTGAATAAATCAACAACAACAACAACAGTTTGCACGGAATAAGATCCTACCATCATTGCTTATTTCGTTAGCTTCTCATACAGCCTAGAGAAATCAGTTAAGTTTATGCAAAGAACAATTTCAACATACTCGTTAACTCTCCAGAATTTCCTGAACTACTGAAAAATTTGACTATGGCATATTGAAAAGAAGGGTATTAAAGATTGTCATTGGGCTAAGTGGTGTGTCACCACTAACTCAGCTCATTATCACTGTAGTCGACAGACACCTGAACAACTCATCTGATAAATGGTCTAAATCCATATATAGTCCGACTTTCAGTAAGTGCCCTTGAAATTCACAACTCTCCCCACTTTCTAATAGATGTCATTGTAAAAGATCATATGCTTTCACAACCGAGTACAAAACTTACTGATATCCTTCCTACTTATTTAGTCCGCCCAGGTTCTATGTGATCGATAAGTTGTTAAGCTACTACATTACTTACTACCAGCATTCTCAAGTCGCCCAGTTTTTTTTCAACAACTTCAAAGATAAACTATCGCATTTGATCACTTCTGTGTGTATATACCAATTAACTTGCTCATGTGCAGTGAGCCAGATATATATAGTTCGTTCGATGCGTGTTTTATCCAAAAGAGTCAAAGAAAATTATCCCGCTTGTCTACGAAAAGAGTAACACAAGGATCCATCAGGAGTGCTATCATTGGACATATATATTCAACAGTGGTCATCCAAGATGTGCGTTCATTCAAAGTCAGCTACAAAGTCAGCCAAAAGAAGCCTCCCAAAAACGGTAAGCCTCCTTCTAATTTGCATTCCTGACTGAGTGATACCTTGGCAATTTTGGATGGAAAACCTCGATGTACACACACCGAAGAAACTTCTCCCCCACCTCCTTCTACCTTGGTTATAATTCCAAGTTCTATTATTATTATATTATTATTGTTCCCTTGGGTCCCTAGTGGAACATAGAGCTTCAACTACACGTCTCCACTTGTTTCTGCCTTCTGCTATACTTTTCACTTGCATCCATGTTAGGCCATACTGGTTCAGCTCCTCTTCACACAATCTTCTCCATGTCACCCTTCGACGTCCCACTCGCCGCTTCCCTTTCGGGTTCCACTCGAGCGATGGTCTGACGCGCGATGTCACCAGCAGCGGCCTCCTCAGCGAGTGTCCCATCCATCTCCACTTTCTCCTGCGTATTTGTTGGGCGATTGATTCTTGTTTCGTTTGTTTGTTCCCATAGTTTCTTGTTGGTGATTCTTGTTCTTTCCGGCCATCTGATCTTCAGTATAGAGCCAGCGAAGACAGTTGTCGTTGTTGATAAAGGTCTGCAGCAGGCTGTTGGAAATATTCTTTGTGACCCACCGCCAAGTTTCTCATCCATCCGTATAGAAGAACTGACTGACTTGACGTCGTTTGTATTGAAAATCCGAGTCATTTTGTTGTTGAGTGTTGCTGAGTGAGTGACGAAGATTTCCAGATTGGCTGTTTCAGGTTGATGAATGTGTTTCTCGCCTTCCCGATTCTCGATTTGACATCCTCGTCCGTTCCTCCTCCTGTAGTTGAGACAATGCTCCCTAGCTAGATAAGTGAATGAAGCAACCTCTTTCAAATCCCTTCCGTTAATGGTGATTGGCGCTGGATGTTGCTGCTGCTGTTGTTGTTGTTCTTGTTGATTGGTTGGTTATTTTCATAACCTCCGTCTTGTCTATGTTCACCTGGAGTCCTGTCTTCACCGGCTGCTTCTTCAACCAGTTTGTCGGTTTTCGCTTGTCAGCAAGTCTTCGATTTTGTGTGACATCAAACATAAATCATCCACGCGCGAAATCCAGGTCTTCTAGGTTCTAGGTTTACGTCAGTCCAGGATATCCATGTCTTCTCATTTCCCACTGTCTGACGAAGCATAATCCAGTCGTGCACCACAATCAGGAATATCATTGGTGATAATAAGCACCCTTGTCTGGGTGCTTCTACTACTACATTTTAGTAACATCTTTTTTGTTAACCAACCCTTTACTCACTCTCTCTGCCTATTACGTGATTTATTCTGGATACTTGTCTCCATGCTCTTTCGTTAACATCACATTTTTGCTGAGTGTCTTTCATAATATCACTCGACCCTTGTCTCAATGCTTACCAATCTTCACCACCTCCAGTTACAATTTGATAGATTCATCAGATTTTTGAAACACCTTGATGAAGTAAATGTGATAACCCTAACTAATATTTAATTTTTATTTGACAATCACGATGTACACACACACATACACAAATAATTATATATATTTTCAAGAGTTGATTTGTAAGGATAAGGTAGGTTTATTTTTCGAGTTTGACCACAGATTGATGTCAGTTAGATAACCGTGGAAAACCAGCCTGGAGTTCTGTCAGACAGCTGTTTCGTCAGCCTAGTTTGAGAATCATCTGCAGTAGGCATCCACCACAGGGGGTTTGAAACCAGTTACAAGACAAGCTAGCTGGCTCGTCTACCATTCAGCCACCACTCACTGGGACCCACCCGATTCAATGACCAGCCAGCCAGCCAGCCCATGAATTCTAACTTCTACCAATTCGTGATGCATTTAGCACGACCACCAACCAATGTTATCGGCAGGAAATCCATCCTCACATCCTGACTGGATGAACCTCACTGGTCACGACTTCTCACTAGATCTCCAGGAATTTCCGCCATGTAGCAAGTCACTATCTAGCATCAGATTGTATGTATTAATGCCATTGTGCAGTTAACTGATGAATGAATTAGCGGCCAAGTTAAACCTTAGACACCAGTAACTGCCAATCAGCGAACCACGTCGAATTATCCAATGAGATTCACGAACGTAGTTCAATGTTGTATAGCGCTTGATTCATTTCAATGCGTGCCCTTACAAGGTTACGTTTGTAATTCGAAGAGGATAGTGTCTTTCAGTATTGCCTGGACTTAGGCTTGCTTCGAAAGGAGAGAAGTTGTTCGTGTGGTGGTGTAATGACTCTAAAAAGCTATACTAGGTCAACTGATGGTTTTGTACATCGCTGCGGAATATGCTGGAAGTGAGTTAGTATTAGAGAGGATAATATTTCGTAGGAACCTTTTTTGCTAGGCTGCATCTCTCCCTAACACAGATTTTGTATATTTCCAATTACTGGGTACTGAAACAGCCCATGAGAGCCACTTCTGCCGAGACGGAGAACAGCCCCAATCCGACAAATGTGCGGAAAATCGTGTCTAAAAAGAGGACAAATCTGGGACATCCAGTTGATGTAAAAAGGGGACAAAACTCGGAAATGCTAAGACTTGTCCCCTTTGTCCCAGATCCCCCCACTTTGTCCCCTATCTGTCCCAATATAGTCCCCTTAATCAGCAGAATGTCCCCTATCTGTCCCAATATAGTCCCCTTAATCAACAGAATGTCCCCTATCTGTCCCAATATAGTCCCCTTAATCAGCGGAATTTCCCCCTTATGTCCCTATATTCATCGTTTCTTTTTATCCTAAAACGCAGAATTCCTCCCTATTACTCGCACCATTTTTCCGTAATTCTTTTAACGTCAAACATCTCACAATTCAAAGAAAGGTTCGTTATGGAACTAAATATATTTTTTTTTTTGATTTACAGCTTGATTTCCACACCGTATTTTCAGTACAAGTGTGGAACTTTCAGCATGGATATCGGTTGCCCAAATTCAGGCATACCATAGATATCGGGTGTGCGCCGGCAGGGGTTCGAACCCCGGACCATGTGCATGGTCGGCGAGAGTCCTAACCACTGTGCCACCGACGCACGTGCCACCGACGTATTCGTTAAAGGAAAAAAAGGAAACAAAAATTCGGCAATTTCATTCTTAAAGATTAATGAACATTAACAGTTACAAATGATACAGACAATTAATAATAATAATCCATGGAGCAATTCAAGAAATACAAAAATATTGTCTTCGCATTAAAAAAAAACCCAAGTATGTATTGGATGGATTACAAATACTTGGGAAAAAATAAAGCTTGAAGTCACATGAAGTCTAAATGCGGCTTGACATCTGCTCGCCGTCATCCAGTAGGTCCATTGACATATTCTGAAAATTAAAAAAATTTCTGTTAGCAAGGTAGTAATCAAAGGTGACACTTATCCAGACATTTGACATAATCATATACTAAACGTGTTTATTGAGGTTTAAAAATTAACTTCATTATTAAGTACAAATAAATTATTTGTTCACATAAAAATACTCACACTGAAAGACCTTAAGTGTGAGCAATCTCTAATGTTGAATTTCCCAGTAAACATACAAAAATAATTGAGTCGTAAAAGGCAAACCGTGTACTGTTGAACAAACTGTCTACCTAAACACCTAGTGCATGTAACTAACAGAACTAGTTTTCATAGCGTTGACAGTTACACGCTATTTACTGGCAGTTGCATTATACATTTAGACAGCATTCATTTAATTAAATTGTCACTTACAGCAGAGATGTTCTGGTCACTCTTCTTCTTGTCAACAGCAACCTGTGAAAAATAATTTGCGTTTATTGATATTCATACAAAGGTTTGCAATATAGTAACTTTAATTTAACAGAAACTTTACTTACTCTTGGCCGGCTACACCTTTTGTAGACACGATCACGTACGTCGTGGAAGTAGGCCTTAGTAGTATCTGTCAAAGCTTTTATAACTTCGTCCTCGGGCATCGTAGCAGAAGCGAACTTGCTGACAATGACGGCTGAAAGAAATATTTAAATAAAGCACGCTTACACGTTATAACTTTATAGAAGTGACATTTTAAGAGAGCTAGCTTCTTTGATGTTCCGTACGCAGTGAAGCGACTTGACAGCTTAGGCTCCCATATGTAATTCAGCATTCGTTTCAAGGAAGACTGCGGATTGTACGATGAATTCTCAGCCAGTTTTGTCATCTGAACGTAAATGAAGGTTAACAGTGAATAAACGAAAGAATCTCTGAATTTTGGGTTTCTCACTGAAGCTTCAAGTTGGTTAAACTCTTCTTCAGTCGTCAAGGGGAATTGCAGTTGACTATTGTCAATTGACGACTTCCGGGTTCCTAAGGTGGTGACGTCGCCCGACTTATTTGCTGAAACAAACTGCCTCATCAGTTTACTAAGTGACTGCATTTCTTCTTGAAAGGAAGCCATTTTTCCATTCAAGAAATCAAGTTTTCCTTCAATGGACTTCACTCTTTCGCTAAGGGAGTGCGACTCAGTCACCGATTTGTCATAGGAATCAGTGATGAGAAATCCGTTAGGTATGACACGATCAACTTACTGCGGCACTCTAACAAACAAATAGTTCCCATTAGCTTTTGTTCTCCTTTCTTTGTTACTATTATATTGTTGCTCACATATTCTATTACACACTAATTTTATATTTCATATCCTGTGGTGCATTGTTTAAAAATGTGAATTTAATGCTGTTTCTTTTGTACTTCTTTTATTTCTCTTTTTTTCTTTTTGTTGTTGGTGCCTTTTATTTTTAAAATCTTATAAAAATTTATTAGGTAATTAGATGTAATATTGTAATGAACGCTGAAAATTCCATACCTGTACCACAAATACTGTTTGGAATAAAGCTATTATTTTTCTTATTATTATTATTAAGTTGGTGTGTCGATAGCACAGTGGTAGAATGCTTATCAGCCACGCCCCCATGTGGTTTGAGGTTCGAATCCCGGCCAGCGACGAGTTCCTTTACATCACTAAGGCAGTAATAAGACTGGTATAGAGGGAATCTAGTATCAAGTTCCCGAATTCATTGTGTTTTTTATCAGTAGAATATAACCTGGTTTGACATCCACATGCAAAGGCCATCTCTTGGCCCTAAGTTTTGTTCTATTTCATGTATAGTTGACGAATTATTATATGCAAAGGATCAGTTCGAAAATCTTATGTCTCAGACACACGATCTACTTCCGCCGTCTGGCGAAGACCTAGAACAATTCAAGCCTGTCATAATGCATGCTGCTGCTGCTGCTGAATTCAACATAGAACTTGGTACCGAAGTGCAGCAGCTCGAGTTGCCACGTTTCTAGAGTCCCGAGGGCCTCAACCCGGAAGTCTGCATCTCCCTCCCTACCTGACTGACTCAGTTTAACTGTCAAGGATTTCGTGGATTGATGAGGCGATGTTTTTGTTTGGCATGGCACCACTTACTCTTTTCCAACCTGCACTTACCTATATCAGCTAGTAATGCCCGTCGGGAGGGAGAGGCGATGGTTAGGCATGCGCAGCACGTGACCTAACCATCTCAATCTCTGTAACTTTATAGCCTCTTCGATTGATTTTCCTTCTTTGCCCAACACTCTACGCCTAACCTAACGTCAACATTACTTACCTTATTATGCCACCTAACGCGAGAGAGAGATCGTAAACATCTGTGGTCAAAAACAGACAATCTTTTCATGTCTTCAACTCGTATTGGCCATGTTTCAGAGCCAGCCATAGAGAAGGACGGAGCGAACTGCTGAGCAGTACACACGTCCCTTGGTTGATAGTCAGATGTCTCGCCTACGCCAGAGATGGTGTAAGTTAGCGAAAGCAGCTCGAGCTTTTTGGATCCGTGCTGAGATTTCGTCACCAATCAATCCGTTGGTGCTGATACAACATCCCAAATAGGTGAAGTGGTCAACATGTTCTATCACTTCAATCACTATCACTAAGCATAATAATGCACTGCTACTAGCAATACTTAAAAAAGCAATGCAAACAATGACAGATGCTATCAAAAGGGCATGAAAGTCAATTGTAAATGAACTATTGATTAGCAAGAAGATAAAACTAATTCGTCCAGATAAAGGATCGGGCATAGTTATTTTAAATCGTAAGGATTACACCAACAAATTATGTACCATTCTTTGCAGCGAAGAAAAATGCTTAGAATCAAGCAACCAGAAAGCTAGAACAGAAAGTATTGAGAATGAATTGTCAGAGAGATTGAAGAAGTTGGTGGACGAATCTATTATTCATTTATTCACAGTTTTTTTGTTCAGCGAAGAAATTTCTTTTCAACGACTTCATTTTCAAGCTGTACAGTCATATTTATATTACAGAAAAGGTCATTAAGTGGCACTAAATAATTGCTCAGTCAATATACATATATATATATATATGTGATAAGAATAACGATAATTAAAATGTTATCAGGGGTAGAGTTGAAGTGGATAAATTACAAAATTATGAAAGATTGTTTTATAAGTGAATTGAAATCAAAAATGCTTTAAAAAATATCAAGTGTTGTCTAAAAATTTTAAAAAATATAAGAGTACGATTACGATAAGAATTAAGATGTACTCTTATATTTTTAAAATTTTTAGACAACACTTGACATTTTTTAAAGCATTTTTGATTTCAATTCACTTATAAAACAATCTCTCATAATTTTGTAATTTATCCACTTCAACTCTACCCCTTATAACATTTTAATTATCTTTATTCTTATCACATATATATATATATATATGTATATTGACTGAGCAATTATTTAGTGCCACTTAATGACCTTTTCTGTAATATAAATACTACTGTACAGCTTGAAAATGAAGTCGCTGAAAAGAAATTTCTTCGCTGAACAAAAACTGTGTTTCTACTTATGAATCTATTATTACTTCGCATATGTATGACCATCTCAAATCGTCTGGTCCAACCACCCGTCGTTTACATGGTCTTCCTAGGGTGCATAAATATAGTGTCCCTCTGTGACCTATATAAGGCGTACCGAACTCTCCTTATCATGCTACAGCGAAATAGCTTGCAGAGATTCTTCAACGAGAAAGATCAAATCTATGTAAACATAGTCATCTTTCGGACACTTTTGACTTCGTCAGTTGCGTTGATTGAATTAATGTGACCGGTAAGCATACGATTTCGTTGGGTGTTTGCTCTTTATTATAATCAAATGTACCACTGGTGGAAACTATTTGTTATTTATGTGATGACATCGAGTTAGAATGCATAAATATTGGAGTGCCAATGTATGATCAATGACAAAAATTGTGTAATTGTTGTTGAAACATCCAAAAGCGCTAGACAAACAGCATTGAGAAAATCAAAAACCACGCAAATCAAAAAATTCAACAAACTAATGGAAGAAAAGAACGCAATAAATGAAATTGGCGTCAACGTTTCATCCTCTACTGACAGAAGAAATTGGGTGACCAACCTCTCATCAAAGGAACTAAGCTCTAGTGAGATAAAATACTTAGGAAAGGACTAAATTTCCACGTAACAATTAGTAAATTAAAACCATAGGATGCCATTCCTAACATAGAAGTGTGGTGAGAGATGGTTGCTAGCCAAATTGGTTGACAGTAAGTGAGGTCAATGTTAGTCATGTGAAAACAAGGTCAAGATGGACAGGCGGATACAGTTAACATATAGATGAACTGACACAGCCACAAGAGATACAAGGTTAACTTTGTGTGGGAAACAGCCAATCAACAGACTGTATTTTCTACTAACAATGACCTACAATAATGTAAATCAAAATCTATAAATATGTGTTGATTTTCCGTAATAAACGTTCTGTTGCCTGGCCCTTGTCTTCTGTTGTCACAGAAGTAGCACTAAGCTCAATAGATAAGACGACAGCAGAAGAGGTTCGAGCATAGTGTGCATTAACCCTGAAAAATCAACAGAGGGCAAAATCAAACTTAACAACGTCGTAAAGAGAAGCTCTAATTAGTCTAAAAGAGGATAAAAATATTGCCATCGCAAAAGCTGATAAAGGAAACTTTACATCAGTTTTGGATAAATCTGATTATATAAAAAAAGTCACTGAACACATTGAAACGGGCCCGTCCATATGAGGAAATTAAGAAGCCTGTTGATACAATAATGAATAAGATTAAGAAATCTACAGCGGAATTAATACGCGGAATGAAGCCGTCACTGGGTGAGTCGAAATGGTTTAATTTAATGCCTAAAACTAATAACGCTAGTAGAATGTATGGTACTATTAAAATACATAAGCCAGGTTATCCCGTACGACCAATAGTAGATTTCAGGAAAAGCCCTACATATGAATTATCAAAACATTTAGCTCTAATATTATGCCCCATTAGAAATCGTTCAAACTCTAAACTGACTAACTAATTCATATGAGATGAAAAGGAAACTAAATGACATTCAATTATAGAATGATGAAACAATGGTTAGTTTTGATATAACTAGTCTTTATACTAATATACCAATCAATATGGCAGCCTTAGAAGCAGTTAAAGAAGACCTAACTGCAGATCCTGAACTCACTCTTAGGACGAAGCTGCCCATTTAAAAAAATTATTTTAGGCATTCAGTTAGGCCTCACATCTACTATCTTTAAATTCCAAGGCAAAATATATAGACAAACAGAAGGCGTAGCAATGGGATGCATCACCAATATCCCCTATCGTAGCAGATATATTTATGGACATCTGGAAAACCATTGCTCTTAATACATTTAATCCCACTCCAAAAATATGGTGGAGATATGTGGATGACACTTTCACACACAGTGTCAAAAACACAACATATCTCTCTCTAGCTTCTTAACACATATAAACTCACAAGTAGAAGGAATAAAATTCACATTTGAATCAGAAAATGAACAAGGAGAATTAACCATGTTAGATTGTAAGATAAAACGAATAGAAGAAGGCAAACTACACACTAGTGTTTATAGAAAACCAACTCATTCTGCTAATAGATATTTAGACTTTAATTCATCTCATCCGTTGTTTGTAAAGGCAGGCTTAGTTAAGTGTCTAACAAACCGAGCAGTAGCACTAAGTAGCACAAGAAAAGACCTAAATGATGAGATGAAATAGACAGAAGAAGAAGCGTTGGTTTTAAATAACTAACTATCCTATAAAATTCATTAGGAAGATCGAAAAATAATTATGAAACTAGTAATGATAACATGAGTAAGAGAGAATATAAGTCATCTACTGTTATACCATATAAGGAGGGGACATCTGAAACCCTACGTTGGATTCCCAATAAAGCAGGAATTAGGGTGGTGGCATTTAAACCTACAAACTCACTCAGAGACAAGCTGTGTAGCCTGAAAGACCCTGTGGACCCAATTAGACAAAATAATATAATTTACAAAATACCTTGCAATGACTGAGGTCAACTAAATAGGTCAAACTAATAGATCGGGAGTAGTCAGACTGTCAGAACATAGGAATCAAGCTGAGGTTAGA